AGTGGCTCCTTGCCCAGCAGCATCCCCACGCCGCTCAGATGGGATGCTCGTTACAGCCGGCAGCGCGGCGGCTATTGTTCCTTCACTTCCTCTTGTTATTTCCCCTCTCTGCAGATGGGGAGATCACTTCCAAGCCAATGGTGCTATTCCTGGGACCGTGGAGCGTCGGCAAATCCTCCATGATAAACTACCTCCTGGGGCTGGATGACACTCCCTACCAGCTCTACACAGGTAGGGCGCTCGCCGCTCCTCCCTGCTCCCCCGGGGGCGGTGCCAGCGCTTCTGCATCCGTGTGGGCAGCAATTCCTGGCTGTGTCCCTGTGGTCCCCTCCCTGTTACAGCAGAGAGGTTGCAATCTGGTCCACGCTGCCCAGCTGTGGTGCCACATGGAGGGAGAAGCTCCCCACTGTGGCCCAGGTGTGTCCACCTTCCCTGAGGAGAAGGGTAGTCTGGGTCACATTGCAAGGGCAGCTTGCCTTTGTCTTCTCCCCTTCCCTCCTCACGTGGAGCCAATTAATTTGCCTTCCCAGGAGAAAAGTCATTCCCCTTCCCTCCTCCCTGCTGCCACAGATGTCACCTCGCAGCTGAGGGCAGGTGTCTGTGGCCAGCTCTGTGCTGCAGTAATGAGGGCTCCCAGGAGGTGGTTCTACAGGGCACCTTGTGCAGTTAGGCCACCTCCAGAACAACCAGTCCCTGCAGAAAACAGCCCTGCTGGCATTTTCCCAAGGGGCTTGGCAGGAATTCCATGGCTCCGCTGCTTGCCTTCCATCCCTTGGCAATGCTCCTGAGCTTCATGGCTAGTCCCAGGCCAGCCCTGTCCTGTCCATTGCCCAGCATGGATGTCACAGCTCTGCTGCTCCTCTCGTTGCAGGGGCAGAACCCACCACCTCCGAATTCACTGTCATCATGCACGGCCCCAAGCTGAAGACTATCGAGGGCATCGTGATGGCTGCTGACAGCGCCCGCTCCTTCTCTCCCCTGGAGAAGTTTGGGCAGAACTTCTTGGAGAAGCTGATTGGGATTGAGGTGCCCCACAAACTGCTGGAGCGAGTGACCTTTGTAGACACGCCGGGCATCATTGAAAACCGCAAGCAGCAGGAACGAGGTAGGGTTTGCTGGCTTCATCTGAGGGACTCCAGGAAAGGTGCTGGAACCATGTGAGAGGACAAAGGTGGCTGAAGGGCAGAGGGCAGAGCTGTAGGCTACAAAAGAGGGTGACATTTGTGTGCCCATGGCTATGGCAGAAGCTGCTGGGACCTGGGGAACATACCTGGGGCAGTGGCTGTGTGTGTCCAGATACCCCTGAGATCCCAGACAGATTGTGTGGCATCAGGATTGGTCCTTACAGGCCATCACTGCCTTTTTGAGCTGTTAGCAAACCCCAGGACTTCAGGATCACTGGGTGGAGACTGCAGCTCATCCCCCTCACTTTTCGCCAAGCACAATGCAGGGCTGTTGCCCAACCTGCTCTCACCATGTTGGGCTGGAGCCTCTCACCCAGCCCACATGTAGGCAGGGCCCCTCTGCTCTCTCAGAGGGCTGGGAGCCACAATCCAGGGGCAGCTCCCTGCCAGGAGGTGGTGGGAATGCAGTGCAGGCAGCAGCCCCGGGCTTGCACCGCGCTTACCCAGCCCACGCCGCAGTGTTGCTCCTCCAACAGCACCAGCTCCCTTTGCACGAGGCATCCACCTGGTCACGGCGTGGCCACCTACTCTGCATGTCCTGTGCTTTGTGGTGGCTGCCTTCAAAAAACACCCCCCTGGGGCAGCCAGCCTCAAACTCATTCTTGGCTAAACCAGAGCTGAGGCAAGATTGAAAAGACCTTCAAGGCCTCTTGCAGGCTACGAAAGGCCAGACCTCAGAGAAGGTCAGATGTTGGCTCTCACTACAGCAAGGTGGGGTCTCCCACAGAGCAGAGTGCTCCTGCAGGCCCTGGGGCCCATGGCTGGGCAGTGTGGTGGCTGGGGGAA